CTCTCTCAAATAAATAAAAAATAAAATAAAAAATAAAATGAAGAAGAACAGGTGGAACAGAAAACAGGAAGCGTAAAGCAAAAAGAAAACACGTGGCATCTCCAATGAGCAAGTGATAAGCCGAGTCCACCTGTGTGCACCACAGTTTTGAGAGAAACTTTTGTTTTTGAACTGAGTTAAGTCAGAGCCTTCACGTGAAGTACATCCCATCCTTTTAATTTTTGTTTTTAATTTTGAGATAGAGTTTTGTTAACTCATCCAAGCTGGACTCAAACTTGGGATCCTCCTGTCTAAGCCTCCAGCCAGCGGCGTTGGAATTTACTGGCTGAGCCACCCACGGCCAGGTGGGAAAGCTTTTTCTTAAATAAGCCACATTCTATGTGCCCAATTTAGTAGAATCAGATCCAAGGCTGAAACAGCAGAGAAGGCAGAGACGTGAGCTTCTCATCCCATTTTCAGCCACCTGCCAGACACCCATCAGCCCCAGTGAAGCCAATGTCTTAGCCAAAGTGGCCTTCAGGCTTCCGTGAACTAACTCGAGTGGTCATCTTATAGTGAAGTGAGTGGGAAGCCAGGACATGTGGTCCCGCTGTGGCCTCCCAAACAAGTTTGCCACAAGCAAGCAGAGCTAGAGAGCTAGAGCAAAGCTGAGTTTGGGGTCCTGGGGTCATGTTGGGGTCTGTGTGTTGGCCTGACTTCTCCTCCGGAGCGGAGGACTGGACAGGAGCTGTCGGTGCACTGTGGGACCTGGCAGCAGGAACTTGAAGAAAGGAACTGGGAAGGAGACCTGGCCGGCTCAAGGGCATGTTGTTGCACTGACACCTCTGTGCGCAATTGGGCTGCTGCAGTTGGGGTACAGGGTGCTCCCATCCAGGCTGGCGTCTCAAAGTCTTGGTCCCCAAAGGCAATGACACCAACTGACCATGGACTGAAATTTCTGGAACCATAGGCTGACATTAACCTTGCCTCCTTTTGATCGTTACGTATTTTGTCACAGTGATAGCAAAACAATGAACACAAGTGCCTGCTATCACCTGAGTCCCTCTGAGGAGGCACAAAGAATGAGCCCTCTGGGATTGCTGAGGGGGCCCCCAGGGACATCACTGACTGGCACCTGTCAGTTTGCTGCCAGCCCAGATGGCTTGGGCAGCTCTGCCTGGCTGCTCCAGGGAGCCCAGGGAGCAGCAGAGGTGGGCATCTAGAATCTGCACACGTGGGTACCAGGCTGCAAGGACGACCCAGATAGTGAGAACTAAACAGACATCGGCTGTCCTGGGCAGGACCGTGGGGATCCTGCCTACGGCACTGGACCTGTGAGGACACAAGCTGGATGCAGGTGCAAGGTGTGATGCCATGAGCCCGGAGGGAGACGCTGGGGCTCCCAGAGATCTCTGCGTGACCCTGGGCCTCAAGGGCCTCATCAGTAATCAGGGATCTTATTCTAAGGGCTTTGCAATGGTTCCATGCTCCAGGCCTTTCTTGTAAGTGGACTGTTTTTTAAATTTCCTCCTGCCCCTGGCTGGGGCAGCTTGCTGGCTCTGAATCTGCACGGGCAAGCCTGTGGGCATTGCAGGCCTCGGAGCACAGCCCCTCGAGGGTGCTGACTGGCTTTCTGGGGTGTGGAGAAATGAGCTTCCCCTGGGTGGACAGAGAGGCTACAGCTCTGAAGGAAGAACTTCAGCTGAAGCAAGAACTGCATACTTAACACTGCTATCCGCAACGTTGCGTGGTGCTGAGCACTGACTGAGACAAGCACTGGCATCCATCAGAAAGGCTGAGCTTGGACCCGTGTGAGGACAGTTAAAGTGCCCAGCCCCGCCACAGCCCCGCCACCCCCCCCCCCAGCCTTCTCTCCTCTCCCTTCTGGAAAATGACCACAGGGGTTCCTTCTCCCAGGATAGCACAGCCTGCCCCTTCCCTGGTCCAGTGGCTGGTGCTGGTCAGTCCTTCAGGCTTGTCCAGGGCCGATGGGTGCTGCTACAGTAGGGAGCGGGGAGAACAGTGGTTCTCTAAATCCACAGGTCTGAATTTAATGACCTCACCCTGCCACAGAGACAGGATCTAAGGAGGGAATTCTAGGCTGCTACAAGGTGGTGATGGGGAGCGGAGAGCACCTGTGGGAAAAGTCATCTCTCCAGTGTCCCAAGTGTTCAGACACCTGTTCGTTTATCACCTGCTTAAGGGAAAAATGTCCTGCTACAGACTAATGAAGTTGCATGAGCAACTTCTGGAATCCCAGACCAGGGTCCTCTCTGGTGAGTTCTGGGCCTGTCCCTCTTGGGTGCCTACCACACGCCCAGCTTCTTGAGTGGGACCAGGTATCTGCCACGAGACTCCGCAGCCACAGATCTTACTATAAGGAAAAGCAAAGGCTTAGCTGGTGCTCGGGAAGGAGCTGGCCAGGGCTTCCTAGGGGCCCTGCAGGCCTCTCTCACCGTGTCACCTGATTTCCTGGGCTGTTCATTAAAACTGCAGTTCCCAGGTCACAGCTTTAGCAATAGTGAACTGTAAGGCTTAGGATCAGCATCATGGACTTTCTTCTGCTTCAAGTGAAGATCCTCTTTTGGAGAAAGGCAATTGCTGTCTATTTTATAAACAACAAAGTATTGTACCCAAGAATCTCTACTGTGAAGCTTCTAGGATCAGCCTCAGGCAGGGTGTCTCAGCCTCACCATGACTGGCATTTGGATCAGGTTCTCCTGGTTCAAATGGGGCCCGGGGATCCCGTGCATTACAGAACACTTAGTGACATCCATGGCCCCTAAATGCTGGTAGCTCCTGCAGTTATGACAACTAAAAATGTCTCCAGACCTTGCCTAGTGTCCTCCTGAAATCTGATTGCAGTTCAGTGTGCCTGTCACCATCCTTGGGAGGACTCTGGCCAGGCTCTGCCCAGCTGGGCGTAAACTTCCAAACACCTCTCCAGTCACATGGGGCTGCGGCTGGCTCTACTTCCCCCTTCCCCAGTGCCCGCCCTCCGGGCAAATCCCTCTCCACTCCTGCCATCCTACTTGTGTGGGCCCTGATGCCCAGTCTTTGCATAGGCAGGGTGACAGAAAGTAGGAAGATGTACAGGCAGACCAACCTACAGGGGGTATGACAAGTCCCCAAAGAAGGCGCCTCATGTGGAAGGATTCTCTTTTTGTAACAACAGGAAGTTTATTTTTGTTATAAATGGGATCACAATAGAAAATTTGCCAAGTACAGAAAACTATACAGAAGACACAAAGGCCACTCAGAATCCAGCGCCCAAATGGCTGATGTCAACATTGGGCAGGGACACCTGGGAGGACAGCACTCCTGCCCAAGGACTATAAAGGCAGCTGCTGCTCTGGGTTAAAGGCTGCTTTGTTCAGATCTGGTGACTCGAGGGCTCCAGGCAGACTGTTTTGCAGATCTGGTGCCTGCCCCCATCCTCACCCTCCCGAGAAGCTGCCACTCAGTGGGACATCAGAACTCATCCTTGATGTCAAAGTGGGGCTGGTCTTCAGGCTTGAAGTGCAGGTTGGGGCTACCATCCTCGTTGAGGATCCTCCGGGCTGTGTAGCCGACGATGGGGTACTTGGCTTTGTACACCTTGGTGAAGACATCTTCCAGGGACTCCAGCTCCTTGGCTGTGAGCCCCGTCTTGGAGAGAAACACAGGAAACACAGGATGCATCAATGAGTTGTGTGTGGCGCTAGCCCTGCCTTGTCCTCCCCACATCCAGGTGCAAGAAGAAAACCATATCAACAATAAAAAATGGATTTTTTTAAGACAACCCAGGGGCTGGGGAAATGGCTCAGTGGAATAAGCGCTTCTCTGGCAAGTGCAAGGGCCTGAGTTCAATCCCCAGTTCCGCAAAAAAAAAGACAACCCAGTGTGTGAAGATGGGGTATGGGGTGTGGGGAGCAATGACATCATTTTTTGCTGCTTAATGGATGTGGGAATTAAAGACTCCAGAGAACAGGAATCCTGGGGTAGGGCTGGGGTGTGCTCTGGGCACTTCTTCCTGATTAATCTTACCACACTCCACGTTCCTACTGTAAGTTATGGACATTTCCTGTTGCAGCTTAGACCTAGAAGATCCCTGTACTTAAGGCACATGTGTTAAAGGCTTGGGATCCTGAGGGCGCTATTGAGCACAAGTAGTGCTTCGGGGGAGGAAGTCGGGTCACAGGAGTTAGGACCTTGAGGAGGATTACGGGACAAGAGCCCTTCCGCTGTTGGGCTTCCTGGCCAAGCAGTATTGTCTTGCCTCAGGCCCAAAAGTAATGGGTTCCACTGGGCATGGATTGCAACCTCTAAAACTGTGAGCTAAAATAAATCTTTTCTTTTTTGAATAGTTTTCTCAGTTATTTTGTTATAGTAATGAAAGGTGCCTAACACACTTCCGCTTTTGTGATGTATTTCTATAATGTTATGGTTTAAGAGCTGGACTCATTCTATTTTTATCCCCATAGCAATTTAACATTAAGCCCCATCGGGATGAATCTTAGCCTTACTGTGGGGCTTACCTTTTTTTAAAATACTATTTTCTCTTCCACAGAAATATAGGCATGGAGAACTTGCTTCTCACCTTACTTCATCCACCTTACTTCTCACCTTACTTAGCTACCCAGAGTGGGTCTCAGAGATAAAGAGAAATGCTGACAAGGACTGGGGGAGCCCTACCAAGGTGTGGCTGGAAGGACAACTGGGCCACCAAGGTAGGTCAGGGCCAAACTGTGAGGATTGTAAGTTCACAAGAGTTTGAAATTGGCTCTAGACAAAGGGGAGCCACTGAAGATTGCTTTTTTTTTTTTTTTTTTTTTGCAGAACCAGGGATTGAACTCAGACCTTTGTGCTTGCCAGGGAAACATTTACTCTACTGAGCCATCTCCCCAGCCCCTGAAGATTGCTTTTTAAGCATTATACACATGATAATCTAATTCAAGAACCGGGTTAGCTAGGACCCTAAGCGGACCGGATGGAAATAGGCCAATTAAGCAGCCTTACTGTTGTACAACCATTAGAAAGATGGCGATGGCTGAGGGTAGGGGGCATTTTGGCAGCAGCCCATGATTTGGCTTACAGTGTCATGGGTGAGATCTGCAGGGTCCAGCGACATCTTGGCCACCCCTCTGGTGGAGTCCTTCCCGGTCAAGGCATTGTAGGGGGCTCCTCGCCCATAAAACTCTGTAGTGAGAGGAAGGAAGAGCATGGGTTTGCAAGTGTTGGGGACTCCAAGGCCCTACTCAACACTAAGAAAGGCTCCAGGCCTGGCGACAGATGAAGAAATGGCAATAGCAAGCCAGCAGCCCACCCCACCCAGCAGGCTGGGTTCCATGAACTCAAAACATAGACTAAGTCGCAATGGGGGCTGATTTGTATAAAAAGTCAAATAGGAAAATGAAAACAAGACAAACCTCCAGTTCTCTTCAATGTTGGTGGAAGGGGCTGGTGAGATGGCTCAGTGGTCTAAAGCACCTACTTACGACAAGCTTAGCAAAGCGCAGGGACCGCTGTTCGATCCCCCAGCACCACATGCCAGCCAGCCCCGCCCCCTGGTGGGCTGAGCTGGCCACACACACACACACACACACACACACACACAAATAAATAAAATTAAAATTAAAAATAAATAAATAAATAAAATAACTTTATAAAAAAAAATGTTGGTGGAAGCCAAGTCTATTTCTATTCACTAACAGAATTAAAAAAGATGAACTGTTACCACTCCTGCCTTTGTATTTACAGCCTGGAAAACTGCTAAACTGCACTAAAATGTTCTATAACATCTTACTATGCTAACTCTCCACTGAACAATTCTCTCACTGTTTCACTAGAGTAAATCATCAGATTTGAATTTGGTTGCATAGGCAGTGGAGATCCACGCAGGACTTCTGAGTAGCAGCAAGGCCATAATGAGGTCGAGTAGGGCAACAGAAATAACCTAACGACAAAGGCAAACTCAATCCGGTCATTTAAGGTGAAAGACAAAGGACCTGCCTGGCATGCCCTCCCTTTCCTCACTCCTCCAAGTGCCCATACTGACTTCCAAGCTCTTCAGACATAAGTGTTCAAAATGCCTAGCCACTTACCTTTGCCGGAAGTGACATCAAACACCACTCCCTTCACCGCCAAGTAAATGGGCTGGTCTTCCTAGAAAGCAGGGGAGAAATATGAAGACACCTCCGAGGGCCCAGCTTCTGAGGTAGAGTTAGGAAAACCTCTTCTAGTCAGGGGCTGTGCAAAGACCAATGACTAAAGTCCCCCATCTGGTCCTTGGTGAGCTCACTACCTACCTGGGCAAAGCCCTGGAAAATTCACAACGTATCATGGCAAGAACCTGACAATCTCTTTAAAAACACCAGGAACTGAAGCAACTTCATGCAAATAAATATTCAAAGAATATTAAATCAGCCCACATTTCCGCATCATCAGTGGACACACATAGATGCCATCGGTGTGGACATCTACTTGGTACTTTGTGTCTTGGAGGTAGCGTTACCTCACATGACATTTCTGTGTGCTGGACATGGCTGTCACTCAGACACACAAGACCTCTCTCATGAGTGACTCTGCACCTGCTTCTGTAGCTGGCCTTCTATTTTGGATGTTAGGGTGGTTCCAAGTCCTTGGAATTATAAATGGCAGCATTCCGAGTATCTTCCTACAAATTACAGTCCAAGTTGGTGAGTGACTTCCTTGAGGCCTCATTCAATACACAGAATTCCTGGGCCAAAGATCCTACACAGTGTAACCACTTAATCCTTGTCAGTGTGTCCTTCAAAGATATTAAACTATGTACAGCGCTAGAAAAATGTTAAGCAGTACTGTTTGCCTTTATGAATGGAGTTTATGCTTTATGTTTTTGCCATGTTAGGCATGAAATGTAACTTAGAAACCCCATCACTACTCTTTTTTTTTTTTTTTTTTTTTGCGGAACCGGGGATTGAACTCAGACCCTTGTGCTTGCCAGGAAAGTGCTTATTCTACTGAGCCATCTCCCCAGCCCCCTCACCACTACTCTTGAGAGAGAGAGAGAGAGAGAGAGAGAGAGAGAGAGAGAGAGAGAGAGACAGACAGACAGAGACAGACAGACAGACAGAGGCAAAAGCAGAGGTTAGATTTTCTGTCAGGGTGAGCTCAGGCTGGGACCTGGTCTCCCATCTCACTAGGGTGCAGGGACCCAGTCAGGAGGCTCCCAAGCCTGCCGAGTGTGGGAGTTGCTGCTGGGTCTCCAGGAATCTTGGGTGCATGACTTCTCTCTAGTGCTCTTGAGGTTTCTGCCTTCGACGAGGAGCTTATGGCCACATGTTCTCATGCCCACGTTTAACAGAGGCACCGAGGCCAGAGACATTAAGCAGCTAACTCAAGGACCCATCTCTCCTGAGTACATCACCTCGGAGGCCTCAGGGTCTTTAAGTGTCGCAAGGAGCCACCTACCTACCCTGCAAAGGAGCACTGAGGAAACCTCCGTGGCACCTGGCCCACACAAGGGCTTACGTTTCCCCAGCTGGCTCCCTCGACAGTCCCCACAACTCCCACTGACCTCACTGAGGCTGCCTTCACCTCGCCACCAGGGTCATTTCCACGCATGGCTACAGGCCAGCAATTGCAGTTGTCAACGTGAGGATGCTCTGCTCTCCTCTGCTGTGATGAGCTGGTCCTTTGCCGGGACTGCTTAGCAAGTGGGCTATATATATGCATTTATAGCAATTTTAAAAAATACGTTAGCATTATCACTTTTTTTTACACTGAAGATTCTTTTTTTTTTTTTAATTAACTAATTTATTTGTGTGTGTGTGTCTCTGTGTGGCCAGCTTAGCCCACCAGGGGGCGGGGCTGGCTGGCATGTGGTGCTGGGGGATTGAACCGCGGTCCCTGTGCTTTGCTAAGCTTGTTCTAAGTAGGTGCTTTAGACCACTGAGCCATCTCACCAGCCCAGCATTATCACTTAACCACACTATTTTATCTGTTTCCATGGTGCTGACTTTTCTTTGGTACTTATCACTTCTGTGTGCTTAGAGTCACAGAAGAGGTAACAACCAGGAACAGAAGATACATCACACCTCTCACCACTAACACTCTCCATCTGAGGGTCCTGGCCCCAGCACAGTGAATCAGGGAGGGTGGGCTCTAGACCCTGAGTTTTGGCCCCCAAGGTTGTGTCCATTTCCTCACCCATGCCACCAGTGACATACTTAGCAGGCTAGGGCGAGTCTCTGGGGAAACTGATCCGAGACTCAGGACCACCCAGAAAGATAGGGAGTGTCAGGGATGCCAGACAAGAAAGCCAGGGCCACTGCCTGCGGAAGGACACTGGGACCTCTGGGGAATGGGGTGCTTGGCCAGCTGAGCCTCCCGCTTATCTGTGGTCAAGCAGAACAGGCATTGCCATGACAACTACCATGCCGCAGGGACCCACAGCTGGAGCCTGCTGCGTGCAGGAGGGTGAACCAGCTGTTTGCCAGAGGTTCTGAGACTGCAACACTGTCAGTCCTTAGTCAGTGCCCGAAAGGGCTCCTTGAGGGACCTCGGAAGCTTGCAGGTGCTTTTTATCTGTAGAAGAACCCTGCCTTCTGACGTTCTGCAGCCAGGCTTTCCTACTGCAGGTGGTGGTGGTAACCTATTTGTGGGTGTGGGGGAATTAATTGACAGATTTTTGACAATGAAACAGAAAATAACAGACAAGCCTGAGTTGGTTTCTCCTTCAATGCTCTCAATGAGCTTTGCCAGTGATGTTTATTAGGGCTTACTCTGCTGAGCATCACACCAGGCCTCTGCCTCTCACCACTCCTTTAGTCCCCACAGAATGAGTGGGGGGCCTTGTCTCGTGGTTTGGGGGTTTTTGCAAGGGCACAATATAATACAAGACATGTTTCATAATAGTATTTTATAATGAATCACCCAAAGAATTATGTATAAGTGCAGGAAATCTAACCACACACATAAACACTAGACTCCAGCTGAGGGCTGGATCCTGATATCCTGCATGAGTCCAGCTGAAAACCTAGAGCTCCTAACGATGCCTCCCACATCCGGAGGTCTAGAGCCTACAATGAAGTCTCATGCAGGTCCACTTCATGGATCTGTGCCGGAAAGACTCAGGGATCAGTGGTGGAATCTAGGAAGTCTATGCCAGCTGGATGAAGGATCTGTGCTAGCAAGCTGGGGGATCTGAACTGGAGCCAGGAAGCAACGCTCAAGGTAAGTACCAGAGCTTCCCCAAAGGTACCACAGCCATCCTCAGCAACAGTGAGGTCCCGAGCTCCTCCAGAGATGAGGAAAGTTGAGTTCCCATCAGGAAAGCCAATGGGACAAGCTCCTTCAGGAGGCTGAGCAGTGCACCATCTTCCCCCCAGAGCCAGAAAGCGATGCTCAAGATGAGGACCAGAGCTCCACCAAAGTTTATCAGGAAAGCCAGCATGGCAAGGTCCTTCAACAGAACAGCCCAAGAGACCTAGCAGTGTCCAAGAGCTCCAACAGCTTCTCCAAACAGCACCCCTAACAGTGTTCCAGCAGCTTCTCCTGTTCTGCCTTTATGCTGCTGGCAACAGCCCTCAGGTGGGCCTCCTGCACCCAGCACCATGCTAGTTTAATTCAGCTGGGTGTAAGAAGCTGACCACCAGTTAGAAATCCTTGTTAGATGGGGCTGGAGAGATGGCTCAGTGGTCTAAAGCACCTACTTGGAACAAGCTTGGCAAGGCATCAGGGACCGCGGTTCAATCCCCCAGCACCACATGCCAGCCAGCCCCGCCCCCTGGTGGGCTGAGCTGGCCACACACACACATCTCTCTCTCTCTCTCTCTCTCTCTCTCTCTCTCTCTCAAATAAATAAAAAAAAAAACAAAAACATCCAAACACCCAGGCACTGCAGCTGCACCCTCCACCATGATCTCTCTCTCCCCCCTCGGACTCTGTGCTGCAGGTCCCCAACACCATCTCCCCCATCTGGAAGAGCTTTACGCATCTGGTGGAATGTGGGGGAAATCCAAGTGTGAGCCTCCCCAGGCCCAGCAACACAGTAGAACCACAAGGACTGGGCTTGGAATTGGGGCTCCCAGGAGACTCAGCGCCAAGGCATTTGTGGGGGTGGTGAGGGTGCTGTGTGTGATGCACCATGTTCAACATAAACCACACTGTCCCTGTATCTGGCCTGGGCACCACAGGGAATCCAGACACCAACCAGGACAGGCGTTTCCCTCGGACAGCAGACTGCTTGCTGGGTGAACTCTTTGCTGCACACAGCCCCTGACTGGATCACTGGGCCAATCTCTGCTGCTCCCAAAGATGTCCCTTAACATCCTCGCCCACAGTGTCATGACTCCTTCCCTCCCAGAGTCTTCCTAGACTCACCCTTCTGACCAACCTGTTGGCAAATGATGCTGAAGCAGGTACCACTTCCTAAGGGCCAGGCTCCCCTGTCCCCTGTAGTCGTCCTTGTCTAAAGGCAGTTAAGTCCGGGGCCAGAGGGTTTGGTTAAGACAACAATCAAGTGCTTCCTAGTGGGTCCTTCCTGCTCTACCACTAACTGTGTGATGCCTTGGCTCCCCCATCTTTGCGGAAGGAGGCTGGTTCCTGCCAGCCCTGAACATCCGCGGTACAGGTGGTAGCTCCTCTCCCCACCACAGCGGATCCCCATCTAACACCCCCAAACACCCTGGCGTTCCCCTTGGTAGCGTCGAGTTCCCACACTAGGCGACCATTCCTCTGGGCCAGCCCCATGGACAGGGGCTGGGATTTCCGAGTCGTGTGTGTGTGTGTGTGTGTGTGCGCGCGCGCGCGCGTGGCGGGGTCTTGCCTCTGATCTCCAGGTTTCCCCTCGGGCTTTGCTCCCAGTTCAGGGTCATCCCGAAAGACACAGACATTAACTGTGGGATTGAGGAGGCCTGGGATGGACAAGCAGGAAAAGGAAGTGCAGGAAAAGCCCGGCTCCTCCCCGGGCCAGGGAGCGGCAGAGGGGCCGACCCGAGGAAGCCACCTTCAGACACCTACGACTCTGCAGCAAAAACGCGGCCTGGGCACGGACCCGAAGCGCAGGGCTGGACGCGCCCCCCTCGCCACGCTCACGCCCGGCCCAAGTCCCCGCGGCCCGGTCCTCCGCCGCCTACCTCGGCGCCGTCGTACCGCGCCAGCTCCTCCTCGGTGAAGAGCCGCACCGGGGGCCCCCGCTCGGCGGGGCGCGGAGTCTGCCCGGCCCGGACCTCGGGCGGCCCGGGGGCCAGCGCCAGGAGAGCCAGGGCCAGCGCGACGAGCGGCAGCGGCCGCCACCCGGGCGCGGGTTCCGCCATGGGGGCGCGGGGCTCCTCCGGGCCGGCCGGCGGAGCGGGGCGGGCTGCCGGAAACCCCGCCTCCGGCCTCAAGCTTGGGACCTAAAGTCAGCGCTCAGCCTGGGACAGCTCGCCAGGGTCGTGCCTGTACCGGCTTCCCGCGTGATCCAGAGCTGCATTCACCTTTAGAAAGTTTATTTATAACTTAGTGTTGTAGACAGCTGAATTAGATAGAAATGTTACAGGCAGTCAGACGGGCCCGGCCCCCACAGAGACAGCACAGCAGACAAGATACTTTCGAACTGTGAGGGAGATGGATGCTTCCGCTGTGGGCTAGAGCTAACGACCAAAGATCCAACAAATGCTCACCTCACTCAAGATAAGCATCTGGGATTGATCATCGCCTTGAGGAAGCCAGGAAGAGTCACTAATCCAACCACTACTGGCTGCTGGATAAACTCTTTGTTCTGTATTTGTGCTCGCTTGCTACGTGACTGGCTTCCCCATTTAGTTCAAGATTTAATCAATTTTACCAGAGAAACGGTGCTTGTAACTTATTGGCGGGCCATAGTTTTGTCCCATCTAAGTGAGTTCCCATGTTGTCTACCTTAGACCTGCCTCATCACATGGTTTTACTCTATAAAAACCCCTGGGAATAGTAGCTTCCTGGGGCAACCTGCTCAGGCCCCCTTTCTGTCCCTCTCAGACAGAAGCTTCCTTTCCCCCAATAAATATTCTGCTCTTACCCTCCGTTTGTTCCTAAATTCATTCTTTGGTTTTAGAGAACACAAACTAGTCCTGGGTACCTTTCAGGTCAGGAGTTTCATTCCCTATGTCACTAGGACTCCCTCCTCTGTCTCCCTCCCTCCACCCTCTCCCCCCAAATGCTAATCGCCAATGGGATTTTAACAAAAGATAGAGCAACACACAAAAATATACCTCAAACAATACCTAACATTTCTGCAAGTCTAAACTCATTCATTTATTCAGAAAGTATTCTTTGATGATCTCCATGTACCAGGTGGCTGCACACGGGACCTCTGGGCTAAAAGACTCCAGAGTAGAATATCTGGCCTCGGCTGTTGCTCATTGTGCAGCCTTTCTGCTTGAGCCCCCTCTCTCTCTGCAGGCCTGTGAGGCAGGAGCATCTTTACGCCAAAGGCTTTTCTGTGGTTCCCACTGCTCATGTGAAGGATGAGTCTAGGTGAACAATGTGTTCCATGCCCTTTGCTTTCTGACTGTTTTCTGTTTCTCTTGGTCCCACATTCTTCTGTTCAGAGCACTTGGACTCAGTCACCTGTGAGGAAGCAGAAACTACTAAGTAAAGCAGAATGCTGTGACGTAGGAAGGTGACCACGCTGGTGATAGAAGAGGCCGGGGCACAACAAGAGGCAGCCCAGGGGAGACAGCCATAGGAAGCCACCATCCTATAGTGAGTCATGGGAAAGAGGAGGTGGTTCACCTGCTGAAGCCTTTGTGTGAGGGCTGGAGGTGCTAGGGCAGCAGCTGCACAGCAGGCAGGCTCAGGAAAGCCTTGGTTTTCCCTTCCCCCCACCCTGGGCAACATTTCCTCCTGAAATGCTGAGCCCTGAGCCCATTGGGCCAGATCCTGCAACCCCGTGTTAAGCAGGCTAAGGGAAGGCCCAGCTTAGAAGCAAACAGGCTCAGGAGCAGCGCAGCCCGGCCTCCTGGTTCTGGTCTGCGCACCTCCCTGACTGTGGTCCTGGGCTACCCTGCCTTCAGCTTGTGCTCCAGCCTCAGGCCTTTGCACTGTGCCCAGCCCCTCTGCTGGGGTGCAGTCATTTGCATCTCACTGAAAGAAACCACCATCAGGAGGCTTTTCTCTGTATCTTCCCTCTATCCCATCCTTTTCCTCCTCTTTTTAAAAATTTACTTATTTAGTTGGTACAAGGTCTTGCTACACAGATCATATTCATAGTGATCCTCCTGTTTCAGCATCCCCAGAGCTGGGATTACAGGCATGCACCACCACACCTGGTTTCAGTGGCTGGCACAGTGCAGAGTCGGCATAGCATGCAGTACCAGGGATTGAACCCGGGTCCTCACACTTGCCAGGCCGGTGCTTAGACCACCAAACTATCTCACCAGCCCTTCCTCCTCTTTTTTTCCCCTCTCCCTCCCTCCCTCCCTCCCTCCCTCCTCATGAGGCCCCTCTATAAATCAACCAATCTAGCTTGTAGCTACTCTATCAATCCCTATCATCTATCTGTTTATTTTCTTTTGTGTTCTTGTTATGTGAAGCTGTTTTGTTCAGTTATTCAGTCCACAATAACTGGAACCACTGGTAAAGCGAAGCGCTATCAGAGGTCCTGGGATGCAGCAGAGAACACAATGCCTAAGACCTGTGCTCATGGAGTCTATTCTAGTGAAGGAGGATGGAAGAGAAATTGGTCAAAGGTGGGTGTGTCAAGGAGGAAAATAGAGCAGAGGGGTGTACCACCCGTGGAGTTTGCTGCCTTGAAAGAACGTGCAGAGAAGGTGCATGGTTTAGATCTCAGATGTTGCCCCAGAGTCTCATGTTCAGAGATGGGCGTTTGGAAGATGGTGATGATATGGGGGGAAATGACCCTCCTGACCTGAAAGGTACTTGGACAAGTTTGTGTTCTCTAAAATTGAAGAATGAATTTTTTGGAACAAAACAGAGGTTAAGAGTAAAATATTTATTGGGAAAGAAAGCTTCTGTCCAAGAGGGGGACAAACGGGGACCCTAGTGGGTAGTTGCCTGGAAAGTTGCCTTTTCCAGGGATTTTATAGAGCAAAATCATGTAGTAAGGTGGGTCTAGGGTGAAACCCATGGGAACTCCCTTAGGTGGGCATGAGGTGAGAAAGTACTATGGTCCACTAATGAGATTACAAACACCATTGCTCAAGTAAAATTTATTTAATCAAAATAAAATGGGGAGGGCTGGTGAGATGGCTCAGTGGTCTAAAGCACCTACTTAGAACAAGCTTAGCAAAGCACAGGGACCATGGTTCAATCCCCCAGCACCACATGCCAGCCAGTCCCGCCCCCTGGTGGGCTGAGCTGGCCACACACACACACACACACACACACACACACACACAAATAAGCAAATAAATAAAATTAAAAAAAAATAAATAAAATAAAATGGGGAAACAAGCCATGCATCAAGTGGGCATAAATACAGTCTCTTCCTGTTAGGGTTGGGTTAATGACTCTTTTGGGGCTCTTTCAAGGTGATTGATACCTATTTAGAGTACCAATCCCTGATGTCCATCCCTGGGGAAGTATGTAGCTGTATTTGTTTCCTCTTTTGTCTTGAGGTGTGGCCCATATGGGAGTGTCTGTCTCTTCCAAGTTGCAAAGTCACCTTATTTTCCATATTGTCTCCTTGAGGGCCTAACCCTGTCTACCTATAATATTTCTATCTAATTTAGGCCAGTGTAGGGATTTGTTGGTCTCTTGGTAGTCCCCAGGGGAGTGGATTTAGAAAGTAAAGACAAGCCATAATACTGAGGTCAGGTGGATAGACAATTGCCTGATTGGCAAATGACCCCTGTCCCCAGCAACAGTAGGGATGTTTATTTATACCTTTGCAAAGTTAGTATCAAGTGGTGACAGAAGGTTGCCTAGTGACTAATAGCTGACATTAACCAGGCAGGATGCTTTTTCCCAGGACTAAGGTAGTTTGACTGCTTTAGGCCCTGAGGCCTAGTCCTGCCCTCACACATTTGACCAATTTCCATCTTCAGCAGCTCCCAACAGGCAAGTATGTGTCCAGCACCTTGGAGCTGGGAGAGGGGGGGCACATAGGAGTACAAGGGTGGTTTCTAGGGGACAGAGCCTATAGGGATCAATGGCAGGCCCCTGTGGGGACTTTGGCTTTAGAGGGATTAGAGTAGAAGAATGCCATTATCTGACTACTGAATAAGCTCTCCCTGGCTGCTGTGGCTGGAAAAGCCTACAAAGTGGCAAGAGTTGAATAGACAGGCCAGCCTGGAGGCTATAGAAAAGCATCAAAGAAGAACAATTCTGGTGGCTTTCCCTAGAGTGCTAGTGGTAGAGGTGGTAAAAAGTAAGAGCAACTCTGGTGGCTTACCTTAGAGCGCTAGTGGTAGACGTGGTAAAAAGTGCTCAGGCTCTGAATAGTTTGTAAAGTAGAGTCAAGAGGATTTGCTGACTTAGACGTGGAAAATAAGAAAAAGGAGGAATTGACATGACTCTAAGAGTTTGGGCCACCACCCAGGAGAGGACAGTTTAATACACTGGAAGAGGCTGTGAGGAGCTGATTCAGAGTAGCAAGAGCTCCGGATTCCACTCTAAACCCAATAACAACCATAAACACTATCCTCCTGCTTACAGGTGCTGGATGATTTTCTAAGTTTTATATGGGATAGCTCATTTAATCCTTGCAGAGCTCTGAAAATAGATAGCAATGTTCCCGTATTACACATGCTATAACTGAGACACAGGAAAATGAAATCAATTCTCGCAGATCACGAAGTCTGTAAGTGACAGAGCCAAGACTGTGAGCCAGGCAACCTGGTGTGGGTTTCTGCCTCAGTAGCTGTGCTCAGCAGCTGCCAGGTGGACATGCTGGGGTAGAGTCACCTGGGCAGCAGGGCAGGGGAGCCTGGGCCTCTGGGGCAAAACAGAGGCCGGAAATCATGAATTTGTGTACCCTCAGGAGTTGTGTTAGTTTCTTCTGGCTGCTCCACCAAAGGACCACAGACTGGATGGCTTAAGACAGCAGCAACTGTCTCTCTCAAAATGCTCAAGGCTGGATATGTGGCATCAAGATGTCACAGGACCCTAAATCCTAGGAGACTCTGGCTAGACTCCTTTCTTGCTAGTTGGTAGCCTCTGGTGGTGAAAGGCAATCTTTGGGATACCGCCTCTTGCTTGATCAAGGGACAGAGGAGCAGGCCCCTGCAGCTGCTACCTGTAAGGAACAAGTGAATGATTGGAGGTATCATGCCTATATTTGCCTCACTGCAGCCTCTGCTTCTGCTATCACCTGGACATATCCCTGTGTGTCTGCTTTACATCATCTTCCATCTTTTTTTTTTTTTCGTGGAACCAAGGATTGAACCCAGGCCCTTGCACTTGCCAGGCAGGCACTTATTCTACTGTGCCATCTCCCCGGCCCATCTTTTTATAAGAACTCATATTGGATTAAGGGACCACCTTACTCCATTATGACCTCATCTCAACTATTTACATCTGTAAGGACCCTACTTCCAAGTAAGGTCATATTCTGAGGCACTCAAGCTAGAATTTCAACTCATTTTGTCAGGGGGAATCAGTGGATTCCTATCAGGGCATAGATGACAATTGCAGCCCTGAGACTGGCTGCTTGGCAGAAAGTGGAAAGGAGATGGAAGACCTAGCTTTGGAGCGGCTGCTCTGCAGAGCTGAGGCGAGGGGAAATTAGCACAGGAGAGTGGGAAGGAGCAGAAGTGAAGTAGGAGGAAAGTGGGAATCGGCAGGTGCCTGGAGGCCAGGGGACAAAGTATATCCCAGAGGGGAGCTGGCACCAGTTCAAAGCTGCAGGTAAATCAAGGGAGAGGAATGTAGGAAACGGCCATCTGAGCTGACAGTAGAGAAGTTGTTGGGACCTTGAACAGCTCTATTCCAGTGAGAGGGTTGAAACCTGCTGGGTATGTGCTCATGAGGGAACCAGAGAGCTGGAAACTGCTTATGTATTTATTGCTGCCTCTCTTCTAACAAGGAACAGCCACAGGAGCAAGGGTGTGGAATAGCACGTGCATTCAATATTCCGGTGCCTGGAACATTACATTCAGTAAACCAAGTTGAATGTTGTTTCAGCCAGTGCGGACCCTTTATTTTCCTTTGCCAGTGCGGGCCCTGCATTTTCCAGTTTGATCACAGCAATAAGGAATGGAGAGAAATAATAGAGCTGGAATAGGCTCCCTCCAGTTCTAAAATTGTGTGATCATGTGGAAAGGGCTATCAATCACGCTTGCATTAATACACATTTAATTTGTTGCTTGTTGTGTTTTTTAATTTTGGCAAACAACCTGGCTGGAATAAGTGTTCCATTCATAAACTTACCAAACATGTGGAGTGCCTGTGAGTGTTACACACTGTCCCATTTAATGGACGTCAGGGCCAGATGGAGAAGCGACCACCTCCCACTGCAAACTCCAGGAGGCTGGGTGCTCTGATGTGGCCTGAGCTCCCAGGCTTGGGCTAAGGAGGGCAGAAGCCAGCGGACTGTGGGGGAGGCTGCAGAGCTGCAGCTGCCCTGGGCACAAAGCAGCATTCACCAAACACAATAAGCAGCCTCTTATCGGCCTCACTGCTGAGTTGCCCAGGGCACCACCCAGATAGGCTGTTCAGGCAGGAGGAGAGGAAGGCGTGGTCCTCTGGCCCACCCTACCACAGGCCCAACACCCAAGTTTCTGCCACCTTTAGGGCTCTAGGCTTCTGCTGTGGTTGAGTAGTGCTTTTGGGGTTCACTACATGAGTCATTTTGGGGTTTGGTGCATGAGCCCTAAGCCCCTGAGCAGCAGGCGGAAGTCTGCAGGGCTCGGAGCATTTCAAGACCCGCAAGCGAGGAGCCCAGTCAGAACACCAATAGAGGGGCCGGGGAGATGGCTCAGTGGAGTAAGTGCTTCCCTGGTAAGTGCAAGGGCCTAAATTCAATCCCCGGTTCAAAGAATTTGGACTCCACCTACAGACATAATAATAATATTCCTGGGCCAAATAATATTCACTTTGGTCTTCGCGCTCCTTCCATCCTTTATGAAACAAGGGGCCTCAGTTTTCATCTGTACAATCAGGAGAAAAACATTCTCCCTTTTGCAGGGCTCCTTGCAGGATCAAGGGCATTCTGTTCACGACACACAGAAAATTCTCACGGTTATAAAGTGTCAGGTCAAGCAAACTTCCTCCTGTAGTTACAGATTCGGGTCCTGCCCTCCTCTGGCCAGGCCTGTTAGTTCCACCCCATATTCACTTAGTGCATCTGTACCCCGGCAACAAAGAGAGGAAGTGAGCAGGCGCCGGCACGTGAGTCTCCGGCCCGGCTCCAGTCCCCACCCGGAACTGCATTTCCCAGCGACCCCTGCGCGGCCCGGCGCCGGCTGGGACGCTGCGCATGCCCGAAGCGCCCCCCCCCCCCCCGGTCTCCAGGACTGCCCTGGGAACCGCATCAGCCACGCAAAGCCAGGCGGTCCCCGCGCTGCGGCGTCGGCGTGTCCTACCTGCGCCTCGCTGGCCGTCGCGGGTTCTCAGGTGCGCTTTGTCTCGCCCAGTGCCATGATCCGGCAGGAACGTTCCACGTCCTACCAGGAGGTAGGAACGCGTGGGGCGCGGGAGGAAAGCGTCCGTGGGGCGGGGGGCGCCGGAGGGGGGGCAGCTCGCGGCGGAGGCCGGCGGGGAGGCGACCCGGGGCCGGCAGGTGAGGCCCGAGCCCCGGCTCAGTTCCGCGCGCGGCCGGCCGAGCGAGGTTCTTGGCGACAAGTGGCGGCGTCCCGCTCCCCGCAGAGCCGATGCGCGCGAGGCACGCGCCCCTGGCAAACTCCAGGCCTCGTGGACCCCCTAACTGGAGAAAGACGGGGGCACTGACCTCCTGTTTCGGTGTCCGCCCAACCCCGACGCAGCGCTTTCGCCATCCGAGCTGCAGCTCGCTGCTCTCGGTCCCTCGTCCGGTCTCGCTCCCCTTCCCCCCGCCGGCCACGCTCTTCGCAGTCCTTTGTCTCTTGTCTGCCCTGTGCTGCGGGCGCCTGCGTTTCCTTCTGCGGGGCTCTGCCTCCGGGCGCCTCCAGCTCCTAGTGACACTGCGCTCCTCTTCCTCCTCCGGTCCTCAGACCCTGGTCCCCTTCTGCGACCGCCCGCTGGTTAGCCAAGCCCCGCAGTTCCGCAACTTTAGTCCGCCGGCAGTTTGTGCAGTTTGCATCCCTGTGTCTGCTCTGAGCACTGGACTGTGATACTATATTGCTACCTGTCCCTCAGTCTTTTCCTCCACAGTTCAGATTTGCTCTGAGGCGATGCCCCAATCCCGGAGCAGTTCTGTTCATAGGCAGATGTTGCTGCCCTGGTCTACCCAGAACACTCAGACTTCCGAGGGGGTAGGGGTCGTTCAGAGCCGCTCACCTTAGCACCCTATCTCTCATTACCTCAGCATCTCCTCATCCCCTAGGTTTTGGCCACACTGGAAGCTCACTGTTGAAGAAAGACCAAGGATGTGGCAAGTGCCAGCAGGTGCCTGGCATCGAGGTAGCAGCCTCTCAGCATGGGGGAAGCGTCAGCTCCTAGGGAGTTTTGGATCCTTCCTTATCAGGATCATTTCTTGTTCATGGCTAGCCCACAGTGTCTCTGCCCAGCAGGGCTTATAGTCAGGGCTGCTGCCTGCAGGGGTGAGCCCTCTGGTGGGTCAGGGGGTTGTTCACTGTGGTGCAGGGTGCTTGGAGAGCCCCCTCCCTGTGCCTTGTTCAGTTCCAAGACAGCCCAGAGAACGTCCTGCATCTTTCTTGCTGGGATCAGTCTGAGTATGGACCTAGTTCCAAGTTAAGTGTCTTTCCTGAGGGAGATTTTGCTTTGGGGTGTGGGAATACTGAGGATTTGGCCGGGCAAGTTGGTGGGCCTGATGGGGCTGCAGGAGGTCGGGGAACTGATGGGAGCCTCCGTGAGGTGGGGGTCAGAGAACGCTGCCCTCCCGGGGTCACAACGTCTTTCTCTTCCTTTGGCCAATGAGGCTTTGGGGTGCTGCAGCATGTGCTCCCACTAAGTGACCTCTGCCCTGTGGGGCCTTTCTCAGGCTCTCGACCCTCTCACACATGTTTTCTTTTGTGCGTGGAAGGCTTAATCCTGGAGATTTTGCCTGATTCTAAGGGGCAAGAGTGGAGGTGTGGCGGGGGATATGGAAGAACCTTAGATGCATGACAGCTGTTTTATACTGTAGTCTCCTGGAGTTAATTGAAATGAAGACCTGAAATGAGGACACCATGAGCCTGAGAAAGTCTTGGGAACCCTATCTCTTCTCCCTCTGCCAGTGCAGCGATAGCTCCTCCTCCACATGCCTTCTTCCCAAGCCTTGGGACTGTTGATTATCTTTGTTTGCCTTCTGCCTTCCTCAGTGGCACAGTTGCCCACAGGACTGGTGAGGAAACTGATACAGAGATTATTACCAGGCTACTAATTATCGCTATCACCTGGACTGCCCACTGCGTCTGTCGCTTGCAGCCCAAGTTGATGTTCAACCAGCCTTCTGGAGAGCTCTAACGCCAGCCTCACCATCTGCACTTTTTTCCCCCTTCTCAGCAGATTCAACATTTCCTCTGGCTTTGGGAAGTGGTTAAGGTCATGGGCTTTGGAACTAGACTAATTTAGACTTGTTTTCTAGCTCTTTCCTTTGGCTGTATGGCCATGGGAAGAGTAGTGAGTTGAACCTCCACTTCATGCACTGTGCCTCAGAAAGACTCATGGAGTCCTAACCTCCTCCAGTACCTTAGACTATATCTGTGTTTATTTATCTTTTGGTCTCGGGAATTGAACTCAGGACCTCACATTTGCCAGGTAGGTGCTGTATGTCTGGGTTTAGAAATAAGGTCATTTAAGGTATAGTAAAGACAGGATCATGCTGAAGTAGGGTGGGACCCCTAATCGAGCATGCCAATGTCCTTAAAGAAGGTGACTCTGGAGGGACACAGGCACAGGGAGAATGACTTGTAAAGATGGAGTCTGAGATTGGCAGGCAGATGCGGCTGTAAGCCAAGGAATGCCAAGGATTGCTGCGAAATCACCAGAAACTCCAAGAGAGATGTGGAACATGTTATGTTCTTCCTTAGCTCAGAGGTGCCAGCCCCACTCACTCCTTGGTCTCAGACTTCAGCCCCCATAATCACACAAGAGTCCTGGTGTTTGTAGCCACTCACTTGGTGGTGTGTTGTTTCAGTGGTGGTAAGAAATGAATAGGCAGGAATTTCCTTGAGTTTGCTGAGCTTCATCATCCTGACCCATAGAATTGGATTAATTAATTTTTTTTTTTTTTATTTATTTGAGAGAGAGAGAG